GGGAGATATAATATTAAACAATTAACCTTATAATATAATTTAATTCACTTGCATTGCTTGCTTAGATTTTTTATTGTAATTAAAATTAAAATTAAAACAAAAAGTTTAATTAATTTGTATTACTCTTCTTATTTTGAATTAAAAGAAAAGGAATTTCTTAGCACTATTTTAAATTCATCTTTTTATTTATGTGCATATGTACGTAATAATTTATTAATTCAATATTTGGGAATAAAGGGAAATGGCGCTATAATGGCGCTTAACAAAAAAGTTTGTCATCAGTGCGATTTCTTCATGACACACCAAACATTTGGCTCTCCCTCCCCATTAAAGGCTTATTACACGGTATGTATTTTACACGTGCACAGCTACTTTTTCGTAGCATATGTAATTCATTATGGCTGTCAAAATTTATATTTCGTGTTATCTGTTATTGTGTCTTTACACGAGATGTAAAAGCATGTGTGTGTCAAATCTCTAAAACAGCTGACTGATATAATTTCTTTGGTTGAAAAGTAAAAGGAAAGATGAATCAAAATAATAAACAAATTGCTCTGTGCAGCTCCATGATGATTGCAATCACTTTAATAATCAAAAAACGTAAAAAGGAAAAATCAAGGAAGCGTATACTGAGAAAAAGGATTAGTTTCGACAACTAAAGATATTTAGTTCCCGAATTTTGACACTATTTGGGAACTGTTACCAAGGATTGGGAACTATTACCATCGATTGGTTATTATAACTAAATATATTAAAGCTTCTAATATTCATCTAGGTTGTAACAAATCGTTAATTTAGTTGAAGGGTTTGGTTAATACTAATAAATATTTCTTTGAAGCATATTTCTACAAATTCCATTCAACTTAACGTATGGTTCATAAAAGGATGTTATTAAGCTCTGTTAATGCAGATAAGCTTTCTTTCAACACGTGGTTTAGTCATAGTTACCAAATCTTAGTTGAGACAACCACGATTTGGTTTGAGAGTGGAACATATTCATGCTTGTGAGCCACCCCTAAAGAATGCTGAGCGCTCTCTGAGCACATACGAAGAGCGCCAGCTGAGCAATGCACACAGTCCCACTTATTGAATCGTTTGAATGCGCTAGTATGCCGACCATTGCATTGTGCGTGGAAATCATTGCTCCGCTACCGCTGTTCGTATATGGGTGAAACACGCATGTGGTCCCAGAGCGCTCAGTAAGCTATGGCATGTCGATCGCTGCGCCATGTGTGCTATGACATGCCTATACTTGTTTGTCACAGTTTCAGTTTTGCTATCATCGCGGGTTGTTTCGGTGCGCGCATAGTTTAAAGTTTAATTAAAAATATAAAGTTCGATTCCAACCGGGGGTTTTCAGTGGATATATAATTCATGTGAATTATAATTTGAAAGTGTCTATTTAGCTAAGGAAAAAGCAAAGCAGTATACTTCCAGCAAATATTGACCTGGGTTTTCGCACGACTGCTCCTGTTTCATCGTTGTTCTTTAGGAAATTCTTACCACCATATACATATGTATTATTTACTTTAGTAACTAACTTATGTAAATATGTACGTATTTTTATGCTTAACATATGCAAATAAAAGAAGAAAGTAAACACAACAAACATCGAGTAAATTTTTATTTGTGTCAAACTGAAACTTTTTTCCCAATAATAAACGGTTAGCTGATTCAAGTCTACGGCAAGTTCACAAGATTAATTGAAAACTTGTATCAACCAAAGCATTGTTTATATTTGCTCAACAATGATTTTATTCAACTAACAATATTGTCCAATCAAGGTAGTCGTTTTGTAATTATTAACAAATATACATTTGTCCCAACTAGAAGTCTTAAGTAAATTGCAGACTTTCGTGAACTATATATTTATTTCGCCATATCCAACTATGCCACTTGATCACTATAACCAAATCTTGGTTATTATAACTAAACCTTTTTCTGGGTGTAGGTCTCTGTGGAGCGAAAAATGGCTTTTGCGTAGAGATGCTTCCCAAGGATTTACTTGCATGGCCATAAACGAATTTCTGCCGGAGGATCCTAAAGTGTTCCAAAATTTCGTGCGAATGACAAAAGAAACGTTCTTTGAGCTTCTGCGGCAGGTTGCTCCCCTAATTGCAAAACAGGACACAAATATGCGGGAAGCTATTTCTCCAACTGTAAGGTGGGCCATATAGATACATATATGTATGCTAGATACAGAACATATGTTTAAGTAAATGTTCTGTTTAGGTTGCTTGTCACTCTCCGGTTTTTAGCGACTGGCGAAAGATTCCACCAATTAGCGTATGTATTTCGAATATCTCAGGCCGCGATTTCACTGATTATCTGATTATAAATGAACTACATGTATTTCCACTTTTAATAAAAAATATAAAAACTGGTTACAGGTACCAAAAACCCCAACTGATTGGCGAAATATAGCAAAGGAATTCGAGATGAAATGGAATTTTCCTCAATGTTTGGGTGCCATTGGTAAGTATAAAATAAATGTACATTATTTTGAAACCGATTTTGGTGTATAATATGTATAATTTTTATCAGATTTTTAGCAGACAGAAATATGGCTCGTACTATTATAACTGCAAAGGTTTCCACATCATCATATTGCTGGCTGTGGTAGACGCAAATTACCAATTCCTTTACGTTAATGTTGGAACCAATGGGCGAGCAAACGACGCCGCTGCGTTTAATGAATCATCGCTTTGTGAAGGCATCAAAACAAATGCATTTAATTTCCCAGACGACGAAGTGCTACCTGCTACTGATAAAAAAATTGCCGTTTGTATTCGTGGCTGACGATGCTTGTAAGCTAACTACGCGCATCTTAAAGCCACATGGTCAGCGATCAACGAACTACCACAAAATTTTTAATTACCGATTAAGCAGAGCTCGTAGAGTGGTGGAGAACGCTTTCGGAATCTTAGCAACTAAATTTCAAGTTTTCCATCGAAATATTCTCCTGCCAGTAGAAAAAGTTGAAACATTAACCTTAGCCGCATATGCACTTCACAACTTCATTCGCTGCAGAGATGGATTCGACAGCAGCCTCACAGATTCCGAAGATACTGTCGCAGTAAATATGACAAATGGATCCTGGCGAAACGATGTGCAACTAACTGATATTCAGAGATCACAAGCAAACCGATCCGGTGAAGAAGGAAGAAGGGTGCGCGACGAATATACAGAGTACTTTAACACACAAGGATCTATTCCGTGGCAATGGGATGCAATTAAAAAATTTAATTTTTAATCAAACATCTACTGTTCACCATTGTGCCTGCAAATACAGTGATCGAAAAAATTATAGCCGCACCACATTTTGACAAGTTTTAACATATTACTTTTTTTGTTATCCAATTTTGGTTATTTTTTATAAAACTATAGTTCATTCGTTTACAAAACCCATGTAAATCCAGGTTTCAAACTTTGTGCAATATTTGGAAAAAAAAAATCCACAAACTTTTTTAAAAACTTCGAGATTTTTTAATGAGATTCCCTAGAAAGATTCTGAATATGCAGTTTTGCAGCCCATTTAAATCTATTAGAATACAGTACAAGTTTCTAGTGGCTAAAAAATACTGTTGATTTTTTAGATTTTTTTTCGAAGATGTTACGGTTTTTTCCAAATAAAAGTAAATTGTGTTTATTCGTTGTATGGAAGCAAATAAGACAAAAAAATTCAAAAAACCAACGGTATTTTTTAGCCACTTGAAACTTGTACTTTGTTCTACTAGAATTAAATAGGCTGTAAATTGGCAAACTCAAAATCTTTTTAGGAAATCTCATTAAAAAAGCTCGAAATTTTTACCAGTTTGTTGATTTTTTTCGAATATTGCATAAAGTTTGAAACTTGGATTACATGTGATTTGTTAATGAATGAGCTATAGTTTTATAAAAAATAACCAAAATTGAATAACAAAAAAAAAAAACCATTATCCTCATTGCGTAAGCCGTAAATTAGACTAGATTGTACGACTCGACAACATTGCCATTGTCTACTGTCGTGCAAAAATTAGTAACCGACGAAAGTCTTCGAGAACTACCCAGTGCTGCCATGGTTTTCGATACGATTAGACCCTCGAAAAACGACTCGCAGTCGACACGATACTCGCATTGAAGCTAAATACGTTACAACTTGTAAAAGTGTGTTGCGGCTGTAATTTGTTCGACCACTGTACATTTGATTCCAAATAAAAATGTATTTAAAAGTAGCAAAAGCTTGGCTTGGCACTGCATATATCGCCAAAATCAACTCAACAGTTCTTATTTGGTGTAAACTTTAACGTTTCAATGTGGGCTATATATATAAATATATATACATAACTAGTGAACCCGCAAATCGTAAAAACGCCCAGGATAGAATTTCAAAAACCTACAAACTGTTCCAAATGTTAGTCAGGGTATAAGCAGTAGTTCAGAAATATCGATTTCCCTTAATTTAAATTGAATTTGACTTTTTAAACAGATGGTAATTTAAGGTGGTTTATTTAATGTTTATTATTTTTTCATAAAAGTCTAACTTATTATATAACAAACACCATATATATCCACATTTCAGAATTTGTGCAAAAATTATAAAAGATATGCTAATATGTTAAATTCTCAACTTTTTATTCAGAGTATGCAGTTTAATAGCCTATTCAACTTTGCAGATCTTTTATAATTTTTGTGTTTGTTATATAATAAGCTAGTATTTTATGAAAAAATAATAAACATTAAATAAACAAAAGAAAAATGAACAAAATTGATCAAAATATTGCCGGCATAAATAGCTGATCACAAGTGTATAATGTATAAGACATCCAAACAAACCTAGAAACAACTATTTTTTTGTAATAGTAAAAATTCACAGGTTTTATTTCATTAAAAGGTACTTTTCATATGTACATATGTACATGTACTTAGGAACTTGGATCTGTTTTTAACAGTGTAATTCACATTTTTAAAACAAAAATAAACATTAAATTATTAGTTTATATGACTAAGTGCTACCGAGTTTAGAAACTAAGTAAGTCATCTTATGGAAGTATTAAATCGTCTTTATCATTTGACATTCTTTGCCTCTTCTTGGCTTCAAAAAGCATAAGTGTGATCTCCTCAATTAGTTCATCTTTTATTTCACTAAGCAAATTTGATAATTGCGCTTTGAGAAAGTTACAAACCGCTTCATCTTGATCATTGGATTTGCTTGGCGTAATTTGTTTTAGTGCCTGTGTTGCTGCACTAAGAAGTTCATGTTCCTTGTTTTGTGGCTCTGTACAAGATCGAGGGCGTTTTTTGCTAGATGCAGGAGGGGATATTACACTCTCCGTATGCTGCGACGAATCCAGCGAATCATCTGCACCCTGCAAAGTAAAAGCCAAAATTCACTTAGCGAACTGGAAGCTGGGAAAATGCAGAGAAACTTACACTTATAAAATTGCTCTCCCCTTTTCGAACTTTTATAAAGGCTTGGAGGAAAGTCAATTTTTCAAAATAAAATGCGCTTGGAATGTAGACTTCTTCCGCGCCGGCTCCACTTTTCCTTTCCTTTTGCTTAGCTACCTCACGGGTATACTGCCCACGCAAATATGTTAATTTGGCCTGTAACGACGAAAATTAATTTTGAAATACATACATAATATGTACTTCTCAATCACAAAATATTTTAATAATTACCTTTACTTCAGTGGAACCAATAGTTGGCAGCAAATCACTTAATTTTTCAGCCAAATCACTGAAGGCCTGCTGGCGAGCATGTTTGTTGTGGTAAAGTTTGTGGTGAGGATTATAGAGGGACTCGTAACCCTCCCATAGTTCAATAAGACGCAAAATTGCTGCTTTTGGCCATTCAACCTAAAAAGTTTAAAACATTTAGATAAATTTTTACATAAATGCAAATAAATCTTACAAACCTTGCTTCCTTCGTTTTCCATTTTTTTATTTGCCGACAAAAAGAGCTGATTGCGTGGACATAAACACGCAGAAATAGAACCGTTTCTATTTCTTTTGTTTGTACACATGCATCGTACGTATAAAACTTCATTGGTGTGTTTACACGACATGTTTAAGCTAATGTCGTGTCCATAGGACTTTGCATGTGTGAAATACATACCGTGTAATAAGCCTTATAATAGTGAGTAAAAAAATCTACATCCGAATCCATATTAAACACCGTGTCTTGCAGCGACTTGATTGCTTGAAAGTTTCGCATGAATTGGGCACGATCACAGCAAAACCACAATTGTCGGCATCACTGATTCATGAGTATGCTCATGTATGTGTGAAAGCAGCGCAGTTTTTCTCGTGTACGTGTGAAAGCAGAAGAGAAAAATTTGGCACGCGTGCCTATGAAATTGCCACCCTTGCCGTATACTGAGAGCAGCACTGCTTGTGGGGGCGAAGAATAAGCGCAAAACGTATACCAAAAATATTTGTTAGGAGGTGAGAATATGTGTTTAAGTCCCCTTTCAGACACGTCAAGTCTTGAAAGCAATTTTTCTCGCATTCTCTTTTGTGTTTTCTATTTGCTTCCACACGCGTCAACTTTAATTGAATTCAAGTCCTTGGTTCTTTAAATGGGAAGCAACGAAAAGATCAAAAGAGACAAGAAAACTTGAAACGAATTGACGGTACGGAGGTATCTGTACTCTTCCCCTCTCTTCTCACCTCCTTCGCCTACGAACGAGCAGACTTGAAAGCAAGACTTGACGTGTCTGAAAGGGGACTAACAACAGTGCTTTGAAATGCACGCTAATTTGGTTTGAGGAGGCGCTTTGCAATAATGCGCAAATAGATGATCGGTACATAGCTACATACATGTATGTAGGTAAAAAAGGGATCACCATGCATGTATGTATGTCTGCCTGTATATACGTATGTTTGGTATTTAGGCGCTTACTGGGTAAACCGAACTGAGTTTATATTTTTTGTTTGTGACAATAGAGCTGGGCTTTGTATATATATGACACTATATTTGAATTTTCTCAGAAATTGAGACTAAGTGCATTTATTTATTCCCAAATGTACTTATTTTGTTGCAGTTCTTTTGCTCTTTGTATTTTGTAATAAGTATAAGTTTAACGAGTTTTCAATATTAATTACTATAATAATGGTGTAATAACACTGTACAGCACTCGGCTATTGGACCAAACCAACTATTTTTAAGAGATTGAGTCATAAGTAAAAAAAGTAATTTCTCCGTTTTTCGAAGTTAGCCTCCGAAATCGAGATATGGGCCTTCGAAGTTCGAAATTGGACCTTCGGTAAAAAATTATTTTTAATTATTGCATGTAAAAAGTAAAAATACAGAAGTGGTCCGTGTTTTGCTCTTATTTATATGGTATATACATTTTTTTGTGAAAACTTATATTACAGGTGCTATAACGGGTCAAAGGTCAGATCTTCGAAAAATTAGAAACTTAATATTTCAGCAAACTTTTAAAAAATTCATATCGTTGTAAAGGTGATTTAACCCCCTTTCTTTTGATATGCACATTTGTATACTTCGTATAAAAAAATTTTAGAAAAACACATTTAAATGAATAAATACCTTTTTTTGTATCACAAAATATTTTAAACGAAAAAATTACTAACCGATTTTTAAAAAATTGGTATCGTTATAAAGGCGATCAAACCCCTTATCTTATTGTATGCATATTTGTATACTTCGTGAATAAACATTTGAGAAAAAACAGTTAAAAGGAAAAAATAACTTTTTTATCAAAAAATATTTTAAACAAAAAAATTACTCACTGCTTTTTTAAATAATTGGCATCGCTGTTAAGACGATTCAACCCCCTTTCGTCTGATATGCATATTTGTATACTTTGTATATAAAAATTTGAGAAAAAACACTTAAAACAAAAGAATGACAATTTTTTCTAGAAAAAAAAATTTACAGAAAAATTATTAATTAGTTATACAATTGAACACAATATTTAAATAAAACAAATAATGATTAGTGTTTTAAGCATTAATTCGTTCTTGTTCACCCACAGCCCTTTTAAAAATAAAGCAAAATATGCAACAGAAGTCTAAGCCATATAAAAATATAAAAACACCATGGTTTTTGATTTTTTACATAACTGTATGCATATATAAAAATTAAAGATAATTTTCTGTTTTATTAAAATAAAGTATTCAATTGTATTACTAATTAGTATTTTTGTTTGTTTAAAATATTTTTTATAAGAAAAATTCAGTGTGTTTTCTCAAATTTTTATATACGATGTATACAAATATGCATATCAGAAGAAATGAGGTTTAATCGCCTTGACAGCGGTATCAATTGTTTAAAATCGGTTTGTAATTTTTTTTGTTAAAATTTTTTTTTTTTGAAAAAAATTTTTTTTTCCCTTAAAATGTGGTTTTTCTCAACGTTTTTTTACAACGATACCAATTTTTTAAAAATCGGCTAGAATTTTTTTTGGTTTAAAATATTTTTTTGATAAAAATGGTATTTTTTTCTTTTAATGTGTTTTTTTTTTTCAATTTTTATATACGAAGTTTTATATACGGTTTAATCGCCTTTGCAACGATACCAATCTTTTAAAAATCGGTTGGTAGTTTTGTTGTTAAATTTTTTTTTATAAAAAAAGGTATTTTTTCCTATAAATGTGTTATTTCTCAAATTTTTATATACGAAGTATTCAAATATGCATATCAAAGGAAAGGGGATTTAATCGTCTTTACGATACCAATTTTTAAAAAAACTGTTTGTATTTTTTTGTTTAAAATAGTTTCTTTTATAAAAAAATGTATTTTTTCATTTAAATGTGTGTTTTCAAAATTTTTTATATACGAAGTATACAAATATGCATATCTTAAGAAAGGGGGTTTAATCACCTTTACAACGATATAATTTTCTTAAAAATCAGTTCAAAATTGTTTGTAATATAAGGAATTTATTTTTTCGAAGACCTTAATTTTGACCCCTATAGCACCTGTAATATAAGTTTGCACAAAAAAGGTTATATAATATTTAGATAAGAGCAAAAGGAGGACTACGTCTATATTTTTAGGGTTTTAGTTATTTATATGCGGCCGCTGTGGTGTAGTGGTAAGCAGTGCGTGCTTCCACTCCGCTGCGCCTGGGTTCAAGCCCTGGTCAAAGCAATATCGCAAAAAAAATTCGAAAAAATTTTTTTTCTTAACAGCGGTCGCCTGTCGGCAGGCAATGGCAAACTTCCGAGTGTATTTCTGCCATGAAAAATAGTTTCTCATAAAAATACAATCGCCGTTCGGAGTAGGCGTAAAAATGTAGGTCCCTCCCCTTTGTGTGACAACATCAGGGCGCACGCCACAAAGCGGAGGAGAACCTCGTCAAAATACTAACATATGTGTAAGCGCCAATCTATTATTATTATTATTAATTAAATATAATTTTTTACCAAAGGTCCTATTTCGAACTTCAAAGGCCCATATCTCGATTTCGGAGCCTAACTTCCAAAAACGGAGAAATCACTGTTTTACCTATGACTCTATCTCTTAAAAAAATGGGTTTGGTCCAATACCCAGAAAAAAAGTTGATTTTGCCGTACAGTGTAATGAAATGTAACTATAATTTTCTTACGCCCCTTTTTTAATAATGCATGTATTGTAAATATGCTGCGCCGCGCTTTTGATCTGAGTGTGGTTGGGTGTGTTAATGCCAATGTTGATCCTTGCTTTTCGCCTACTGGTAGTGCACGTTTTGCAGTTGCTGCTTCCCTGGTAAATGCTAACTTCCTTTGCCCGTTTTGTTGTTCTTTTTTTGTTGCGATTTTCTTCTTGTGCTTCTGAATATCTTTTTCCTTTTTGTAGTTGTTTATGTATTTGCTTGTACAAGTTATAACTTAAGTTTTGTTTTTCAGTTCATTGTGTATACATTTAATGTTTCAGATTTGTTTACACTTTATAGTTATTTTATGTTTGCTTGTTTAACGCATTAAATGATATTGTTTGCAATCACTTTTGTTTTTGCACTAAATGTTTAATCTACCTTCCAAATGTTTTTGTAAGGATGTAAAGTTTTTTTTTTGGTTTCTTGTTGGTGGACTGTATTTTTTTTGTTATCCAAGCCGTTCGGCGAGGCTTTGGAGGACCATAGCAACGAGATGGCTTTCCACTGCGTTTGGTTTAAAAAGTGAAAACACTCGCGATTCGATTTAAAATGTTATAAATGGCTTTTATTTTAAATAAACTAAATTATATATGCAAACAAAATATATATACATATACACTTTCCGGTGATGTTATTCTGTGGTGGCCGTTTCCCCGTGTGTGCTCGGTTGTGCGGTTGACTTTGGAGTAAATTCTGTTTGATCACTATACCATGTTCTGACCGACAACGAAAACATTTTGAAAACGTGTTCACACCGGCTGTTAGTGTTTTCGTTGACATTTCTTACAACCTCTGATTACAGTTTTGCTACACAAAAACATAACCAAAATGCTTTTCCCTCATTTTCTTTTCATTAGCAACCTCTTACTTTCATTCTTATTTTACTTTTGCCAGCCAATTAACAATAAATCCGAAATAGCGTATTAAAGATGATAAAATATGACTTCCACTTCGATAAATAATCGAAAAAAACTAGTGACGACACCGATTGGAATGAGTGGAACGTGAGTTTTCAGGTAGTTTTCAGCTAAAACTGGTTTTCGTTTCACAGATTTTACATGGACGGAAACACAAGTTTTAAGTCGAAAACCAGTTTTAGCAACGAAAACATGTTTTCGATGTCGGTCAGAACATGGTATTACGAGAAAGTTGAACAGCAGTGAAGGCACTAGGGTGTTCCTTCATAACAATAGGTTGATTGTAAAAGCAGTAATACCATGTTCTGACCGACAACGAAAACACTTTGAAAACGAGTTTTGGGATTGTGGGCTGAAGGCTGTTCACACCGGCTGTTAGTGTTTTCGTTGACATTTCGTACATCTTTTGATTACA